GTAATCAGCAGTAATATAAAATTTAGTAGTTATCTCTAATAACTTGATAAACTTTAAATAGGTTTATTAATGAAGTATCTTGGTATTAGTTTAATATCCCTTTTAAAGAAAAATATTCTATTCTTACTGAGAGTAGTGTTAATAAAAGATGTCATTTGAAAACATACAAATTTTTTTTATCTTAGTCTTGCTATAAGTATAACAAAAACTATTGATACCATGACAAATATAACATACTAACACAAAGTAGCAATGATATGATAATAATCACAAAAAGCTGTTTGATGCTGTTATAAGAAAACAAAGCTATTCTTACCTTGTCAGCGTTAAAATCAATTTTATTACTAAAACTATTAGCTGATGATCAATAAAGTAAATTTCAGTACAAGAAATTTACTTAATTAAAATCATATTTCAACAGTGGTAAAACTAATCATAAATGATGAAGTAGGCAGAACGTAAATGTCAAGCTAAAAAAAATGATAAAAAAATTCAATATAATAAAAAAAAAAAACATTTAACCTTGCATTAAATATATGGTTATTTTAATAAAATATAAAGGAATAAATAAGAGTTAATGTAGATCGAAAGAAATGGTAAAAATAGAACTGAAAAACTTATACATAATAAAAAATTAAACTATATATATATATATATATATATATATAAATATATATATATAATATATATATATATATATATATATATATATATATATATATATACACAAATACATTTCTCAATACAAAATATATATATATATATATATATATATATATATATATATATATATATATACACAAATACATTTCTCAATACAAAATATATATATATATATATATATATATATATATATATATATATATATATATATATATACACACACAAATACATTTCTCAATATAAAATCAAATACATGCAACCAGGACTTTTGAGTCATTCATAAAGTATGCTCAGATGGCATAGGGTGCAGGTGGTAATTATAAAAGTAAAGAGACACTAAATAAAGAAAAACATAAAAATGTACATAAAATGTTAGGTAGGGCACTCAAAAAATCGTGCAGCAAAATATGAGGATAAGGGGAAAGGGAAGAGAAAGGGTCAAAATACAAGCATACATACTTTATAGACGACCCCTTTCCAAATACAAATATTTTTACTTTATGATTGATTCATCATCTTCTATTATGTTGATTCATCAGTCTTTTCAAGAAAAGACTGATTAATCAACTTAATAGAAGAATGAAAATAAATCTTCTAAAAAATTTCCCTTAAAAACAAATTAATAATTAAGTGTTACAAAGGGGAAAAAACACAAGCCTCTTGATTATTCAGGTTTGATAAGATATTGCCGGGTCGGGGTTTTTGACTGAGGCTGCATAAACATTTATACATCCTAAAGTATATTTTTCTTCTTCAAAATTCATATTATATTTTGTATATGCATTTATAAACATCATTATGGTAATTATAATTATGATGATGATGATGATGATGATCATCTTTTCTTTCTGCTAATACTACATCATACAATTAAATTTTATATAAATATTCAAAGATATTGATGCCAGCATCTAAATAAATATCAAACATATGTTTATGTCCATATACATATATGTTTATGTCCATATATAATTTCAATTTTAAGTCAAATTTCATTCTATTCCATACTTTTCACTATCTTGAGTAGTTCAGTTCCTCTTCATTAACTAAAGTAAGTCTAACATTTAAACTTATTAATTATATAATATTTAATAATATTCAATTTTTACAAAGTGCTAAATAAGCGGTACCAATTTTTTAAAACACTTTGACCTCTATAACTATCCTACGATTACTCTTCACTCTGTTATTAATTTCTTTATATAAAGGTTTTGAGATTATTAAATTATTACTAAATGCATTAATAAAGTTATTCTTGAAGACCTACACTCTTCTTTATTTCAAGTAACTTGATGGATATCACAAAGTATCTTGTAGTACCCTTAAATCTTTGCTCCTGTATTGTTTCTTATCAATCTTCATGAAAATTTAACATCTAAAGTTGCTCTATTCGTTGACAACTCAACTTTACACTCTTGTTTTGACAAAAAATCTTCACTTTTTGATTGCTTAAAACAAGCAGCTGATTTTTAATCTGCTTTATCTGCCACTTAAGCCACTCTTCCATTGTTGTAAGGTTGCATTTCTTTCTTTTTTCTACTAATAAAATTATGGTTGAAGCTCAAACAAGTTATCATCTCTATTATGATAAACCAAAACTCATTCTTGCTTGCTTCTTATTCAACAAGTTGCATCATTTTACTGTATTTGTCCCTTCATGCTATAAAAACTCTTATTATTCCATTTTTATCCTTGCACATCAAAAAAACCTTATAACTATTAGCCATCTTCATGCTTTTCTTTTATATACAACCAGGGCCATCCCTAGGGAGGGTGGCACCTGGGACTAATGTTATTACGGCGCCTCTCTCTCCAGTAATAGTCGCATATATAAACTTTTTGTGCTGTCATCAATAATTTAATACTTACACCACCTACCAATCTATCATAAAGATAAATATATATACATTCAAGCAATCAATCTTTTTTGTTTCATTGTTGTATGTAGGTAGGTTTTAATTAACTTCAACTTACTGAAACTACATTCACTGCTGGTCACTGTCATTAAAATTGTTAGCAACATGACTTGTGCTATCCATATCTATTATACACATATTAGGAAGGTTTTTTCTGTTGGTGTTTTTGATTATATTGATACTTCTAATGGTAATAGTGTTTTGCTGACCGCCTTCTGCTCACACTATTTGTCAAAAACAGTAGCTATCAAACTGCCATGTAGAATTTTATTTGTACAGTTCTTCCTCATTTATATCTGAAATATTTTTAGCTGTCAGATGTTCTTCTAAAATTTTTATTTTATAATTCTCATTAGGTTTTGTCCATTCTGCCTTTTAAAGATGATTTAGTTGTGCCAATTAGGGTTAAGAAAACTGCATTTTTTGTAAGGTTCTATTGTGCTTGAGATCCAGCGCTTGATTGATGGATAAAAAATTTATAGGTTCTTTGAACAACTCCAAACAGCAATATAGACTTCACTAATGATTTAGCTCGGTCTGATATAACTATGTTCAAGCAGTGGCAACCACAGGGTGAAGCCTTTTGGTATTACACTTTTTCGAATTAAAACCATATTAGAATATCTTTCTCCATCTTCAATTCAACATAAATGTTCCATCAAAATTGGATCAAAATTTACTAAGTAATTGGATAAGACCAAGGAAGTTCCCATTAATTTTGGTGTACAGCTTTAATGAGCTTCCACGAAATGCAAAATTGTTGCATAAGACCGTGATTGGCAGCTTGATCATTTTTATCCTGATTGTTGCTTCAGTCCATTCCTTAACTGTAAAGAGATGAAGATGTCTTTTTTAAGCTTGCTCTTTGAACTTTTTCCAGTTGTTTAAACCTTTTTTTTTTCCCAAAATATGATTTTAGAGTTGGGTCAAACTGATGACAAGGAAGACAATAAACTGAATCAGTTTCTGGAGAGTATATAAGCCATCTTCTCTTACTTGTTCATCATTTCTTACTACCCTGTCGAAATTCATTTGAGAAATAAAGTTTTTGTGGTTTTAGGATAGTCTTTATTACTTTTCAGGAAAGGTATTAGACTGATTTTGATAATATAGTTTCTCGCACTTAAAGCTATCGGCTCTGTCTCAGTGGACGGGTCATTAAATAAGAATCTGCAAGTGTCACTTCTGTGGGAATAGTCTGTTAAAGTTGAAAAACTATCATCAGTTTCAACTATTATAGGAAATAACATTCTGCTTCCTAAGATTTTAGGCTGCAAAATGTCCAAAAATTAAGTGATGTTCATGTAACAAAACTAGTTGAAGAAACTACACAACAGAGGGTTACTCACATTTTCTTTCCTTGATTAGACAAAGCAGAGGTCTCACTTGATGATTTTAAGGAGTTTTCATCACACAAAAGGCTTGATTCACAAGGTTGTGAAAAACTTGGAGAATGAAAATATGTATCTTGTAGGAAGGCCTTGTTTTAAAGCATTAAGCGTAAAGCAATTTAAGCGATTTTTACATAAGCAGTAAGCCATTTCAATTAAGCAACTTTTCATCAATTTTTAACTAATAAAATATACTATAAGTGGTAAGATAAAAGTAGTAATTAATCAAAAAAAACAAAAAAAACAAAAAAAAAAAAACATTAACTTTTGAATGACATTTATGTAGAAATATTTGTTACAAAAGTTTGAATGACAACTTTTACATGACCTAATTTAAAACTAATTTTATAAAAATATATAACTTTATTCTGATAAAAAAAACATATATAATTTAACTTAGCTTTAAAAAAAATATAATTTAATTTTGATTTAAAAAATATTTGTAAGTTTATTAAAATTTAAAGTTAATGGCTTGGATTTAACCTAACTGTCTAACCTATTTAAAAATATTACTAAATATTTTTTTTAAAACGTATGTAATTTTAATAAAAGGATAAACTAATAAACTTTAAATAAATTGAATTTATTTTTTAAAATAAAATTATTTGTAGTTGCAAAGCCGCAATTAGAAATTTAAGATATAATCATTTTATAAACTGAAAAATTTAACATTAAATTTAAAAATTCATTTATGCAAATGTTGAGAAAAAAATAAATTTGTTAATATCAAACTTTTATAAAAATGCAATATTAAATTTAATTATTGAAAATAATTAAAAAAATAAGCATTGCATTTAAGTATTAAAAAAAAAGCCGTTAAATAACATTTAATTTGTTTTGCGGTAATTAAAATTATTGCAGTAATTTAAAAAAAATAATGTCTAAAAAAATTAACAGAATTTTATTTTGTCAAATATCGCGTTAAGCTATGCATTAAGCATTTTTTTATTTAAAACAAGGCCTGCTATAAGTCTTAAGCATTCAAGTTATAGAAACTAATTTCAGACAAAATGCATCGGATGGAACTGTA